CTATACAAAACCAGCTCCATGTTCTACTATGTTGCCTTGCACTGAATGACTGAGTCTGAATGACTATTAGTGAAAGTACAGACACAGACTTACAGTCAGGAGAAGAAAAGAGGTAATACTAGATTTTTTAAATAAGTAAATGGTCAGTGTCTCTTAGCCCTGGGGAACATTTTAAAAATCACTAAGGCCTTGGCTTTTACCCTAGACCTATTAAAGTACAATTATGAGGTTAGGCACTATGGTTCATACCTATAATCCTAGCTACTCAAGTAGATTATGATTTGAGACCAGTCCAGGCAAAACAGTATTTCAATCAATAAGTTGGGTGTGTTGGTACATGCCTGTCATCCAAGCTATTCATGACCTAAGTTGTTATACTTTTTAAAGCTGTGCACTTGGTCCTCAAGAATCACCAATTAGATTAAGAGCCACTGACTTATGGACTTTATGGTTTGTGGCTTATAACCTAATATCTACTTGCTGCCACTCAATTGCCCACCATTGGGTTGGTCCACAGGTAACTCTACTAAGATTGTCAGGATATGTAGGATGTGGGCAGAATTCTGGTATAATAATTTCAATTTGATCCCCACTTTGGGCTGGTAAGTTTTCAGGGAAAATATCACAGAGCAGAGAAACAAGGTTGCTTGAGAGGTGAGAAGAGGATGATAGCAAATAAGATATAACTATCATCTCCTTTTCAAGTGGCTTCTCAAAGTTTTCCCCTTCTGTAAAGGAAAAGTCAGGAAGCTAAGAGTTTAGAGTTTTAAGCAAAAATAAGGAGCCAACTTGGGAAATCACAGGAAAATCTTGGATGAGATATGTAGGGAATCCAGTCACAAACTCATTCGTATCCAGCTGTGAAAGGCATATATTTCAGCTTCATGGCCTTCAATACAGGAAATGGTTCTGAGTCTCCAACAACTAAAAGGAAAATCTCCAAGAATCTTCAGCTAGCTTTGGAGTTGAGGAGGGGGGAAGGGCCAGTTTTTGTATTTGCATTAATACCTGCATACTAAAGGAGTAGGATTTGTTTGTTATTCTCTGAGCTTCTGTGTCCCCAACTTTAAAATAGGAATCATCATATTATCTACCCCTTAATTTCTGCAAAGAGAATTTTCAATGAAACAGAAATAATGCTCCACATAAAACCTAGTCTGAGCTAGAAAAAGACATAACATAAATCAAGGTAATATTATTGTCAAGGAGGAAGATTCTGAAATGTATTATAAATATGTTTATATAATACTATAGTATATAATTTATAATATATCATACATATATATGTTAATATTTTTTATTCTTATAAAGCTACTGCTCTTCTAGGCAAACCATAAAATTTCCCCAGGAAAGACTTCTCTTAAGAATGATCTACTAAATCCTGACATTCCATTCCTCCTAATGAGTCACACATTGAAATTTGCTGCCAAGACCTATAAAGCACCCAACAGTAGCAGAGTGGTCAGAAAGAGTTTATGTTAAACTCAAAGTGAGTTTCAGTCTAAACCTTGCCATTGGTCTCTTTCACCACTGAGGATAGATGGATATATGACTGAAGTGAGCAAAGTATGAATTTCTCAAACTTGTGTTTGCCATCATTTTCAAGGTAGTTCCACTTTTCTGTGAGGCTAATGAAATAGCCCTGTAGTGTTTTAGCTGATAGGAAATTATGTTGTTTCCAGCCTCCTCAACTGATAATAGACAATTCTGCTATTATTACAGCAACCATTTTTAGGGAACACACCTTCTAGGTCTCTTTAAAATTTGCCATTACTTTTCTACTTAATCTCACTATTTCTTCTTAGCTATTCTTTCCATGAACTCCTATTAGCATTTCAAACCTGATAACACATTCCAGCTTCAAGGCACATCAGATCGTTTGTGCAGCCTGTCTCCCAAAATGTTCTCAAGAATTAAAATACAAGAACAAACAATGCACTCTAATCTATTGAAAATTTTACTCTGCAAACTTTAGGTATTCAGGATGACTAAACCTAAAGAGAAGGAAAAGTGTGGGAGAAAATATAAAATGTGAGTCCTGCCAGGTGTGGGTGGCTCATGTCTATAATCCTAGCTCCTCAGAGGCTGAGATCTGAGGATCATGGTTCAAAGCCAGCCCAGGCAGGAAAGTCCACAAAACACTTATCTCCAATTAACCACCTGAAAACCAGAAGTGGTGCTGTGGCTCAAGTGGTAGAATGCTTGCCTGGAGCTAAAGAACTCAGGGACAGTGCCCGGCCCAGCATTCAAACCCCACACATTGACCAATAAAAACAAAAAACAAACAAAAAAATCTGAGTCTTTTATATAGAATATTGAGATCAGCAAAGTGAAAGACAGTAAGGAATATTTGTACATGTTGCAATATATAATGACTAATGGTTCATGAACACAGTCCTGATTTGGGTTGAAGGAGTAAAACAGTTATAATGTCATGGTGTTCTTCTTTGTATATCCATTTGGGAGAGTATTCAGTTAGCAGGTAGCAATCTACGATGAGTTTCAAAATTGTTCCTATCCTGCATAACCTTTCTTACTTTCCTCTTAATAATTTCTTAAGATACTAGAACACGTGCTCCTCAAGAAGAATACAAATCTTAAGTTCAACATGCATTCACCCAATGTATCCTTACTTCCTTCAAAACAACTATTTCCTCTTAAAGCGCCCTCATTTAATGAAACTAGATGGAAATCAATCAAAGCATTACATCCCAGGAATGGTAGCCAATGAGACTGCATGAAATTCCACATCTTTGCACCACCATGTTGCAGTCATCTTTACCTCATAGTCTTTTCAAATGAAGTCAACATACTAGAAGGCAAGCTAAACAGTAGACAAGAGAAGCTAGAGCCTAATGACTTCACTTAAACTCTAATCAACCATGTGGTCAAGTTTTTAAGTTATAGGAACCACCAAGTTGCTTTTGTTCAAACCAGTCTACATTGTTTTTTTAACCACTTGAGTCTCATGATTAGAAAAAACAACAACAACTGTTTATCTCCCAAGAGCATCACTTGGTACCTGGCAGAAGCTAGGCACTCAATAAATATATATGAAACTGTATTGAGTTCCCATACAACAAAAAATCAGCAACAATATTGTTCTTTTTATCTCCACTTCATTTATAGAATATCCAACTTCATTGGCCAGTAGACAACAGGAGTCTATGTCAAATGACAGAAATAAATTAAAATACTATTTTTTCACATGATATTGAGGATGCTCACTCTGCATACCTAGAACACCAACCTGAATGAGAAATAGTTATCCAACACCCTTCACATTCCCTTTCAATGTTCCTGGCCATCTTTGATGTCTATATCTGGCTTTCAACAACAATATTAATGTTCTCCATTAATCATGCTTTCTGTCATTGTATCCCAAAATGACTTTCCATTCAGTTGAGAAATTGTTGCCTTACTGCTGATCACTGAGGTTAGTGACATTTGGATTCTTTTTTTTAACTTGGATTCTTCTATTGGAAAATTTCCAAATAAGCAAAAAAGAACATTTATTTTGGTAACAGAACACTGCGACTGAGAATTAGAAATTAACTGAGAACCAGAAGGTTTGGACTTTGTTCTTGGCTTTGCCAGTGACTTTCAATGCAACTTGGATAAAGTTCTCAACTCGTTTGATTTTTCTTATTTTTCCTACTTCTCTGAAAAATAGAGCTAGAAACAGCTCAGAGTAGGATAGTCACACTATTGGGCAGTAGGAGGACACTGTATAAAGAAAAGCTGAAATATCAATTATCAGAGTGGAGAAGCTGAACATCAACTGGTTCCTGAAATTCCAGGTCACTATTAGGAGAGAGACCGATATAACAAGGAGACTTATACTCCATACAGCAAGAGCAAAGTCCTTTAAAAACAAGAAATCCATGAATAAGAGATCCATAAATAGAGTAAGAGGAACTGTGGTGATTTGTAGTATATTTCACCAAGATAAAGAATGCTGGACTTGATTAATCTGGGTCTGACCCATAAAAATATCTTATATTTATGTTCTTTATCTGGTTATAAAATAAATCCAAAGTTCTCATAAGGATCTTGTTTCTGAGGGCTGGAGAATACACAGCATAAGGAAGACATAAAGAGAAACGTTCTTATTTCCATGTGCAGGTGTCTACAAATACAAATTCCCATATACCCATGCCTGACCAATCTTCCTGTCCAGTTCAGTTCATTGATCTTAGATCATAGAGTCAGCACCCTGAAACCTAAGCCAATCTTTAATACTCAGTTCTATAATCTTAAATACATCATTTTACTTCCTGGGCTGCAGAAGCTTCATTTGTAAAAATGAAGTTTGAGCTGAACTGTAAGAAGTCTTCTGTCTCTAAAATTATTTAAACCTTGTAAGAAAATCCCATGGAAGAGGCAGTTGGATTTCCTTTATGTGAAGCAGTCCAAGGTGATCTGTACATGGGTAATATGAACAAAGTTCAGAGGGTCATTGTTCATAGAATAGATGCATGGACTTAGATGAAAAAATAAGCAAGCATACTTTCTCTGGGTCCTAGTTGCTTTGCTCTCAGAAAAGCTGAGTTGCTGCCAAATAAGGGTTAACATTGTTCCTTTGTGACTGACAGTGCTGCAGGCTATGACAAGCAATCTTTCGTTGCTCAACTATATAACAATGGAAATAAGACATTCTGTAGTTTTTATCAAATATAGTGTTTGCCATGTCTTGTCAGGGAACATGGTACAATTAAACTCCTAATCTTATGGTCTATGTTCCACTCTTAAAACTTATTCAAACAAAATGTTGGTTGATACGTTAGAATCTCTTAGGTAACATTCAATGTTGAAAATGTTTGTTTTATTCTGTACTGTATCCAACTTTCAAATTTTAAAAAAATGAAGGAGAACGAAGGTTTTCCTTGATTGCAAATTCACCGGGGAGGTTTTAAATTTTTTACAGACAAATTGCTTTAGGTACATAGACTTCGTAATTTGTGTGTGGCTAATTGGATTGCCTGATTAAAGGACCTAACCATCGTTTCAAGGTAGCAATTGCTGGACTGGAGTGCTCTGCTGGCTGAAAAGGTCTCTGGTATGCAATCCTACACCTCTGATTTCATGTGATTAGTGCTATCTAAAGCCAAAACTATGAAACTTCTCAAAGTATAGGTACTGGTGAGAACCATGCAGTCTTTTCTCAATCCTAGAGATTTGTAAGCGTTCTTCAGATCCCAGTCCCTGAGCCTTACACATGATTTAGGATCAGCACCCAGGGTACATGGATCAAATATGGAACCAACTTTAGTTCCCCATTAATGGGGCTCTGAATAGCTAGCTACCCATTCAATAGGGTTTATTAATCATTTTGTCTATGCCTATTTTCACTAAAGTTAGGAATGCATTAAACCAATAGACCTAAAAGGTCTATTTCACATAAAGCTTTACTACTGATGTCTTGACAAAACGGAATGTGACATCATGCTAGATCTGCTTTAAATCTACAGTATCACACCTACGTGAGAGGGTGGCATATACCAACATAAGAGCTCCATACATCCAATTTTGAACATCTTCCTTTCTTTACCCTAATTCCTAGGGTCTCCAAATAAAAGTCAAGGGAATATAAAATATTACCTAAAGCAAAGCTAAAATTGCATGTTTTAAATTTTTTATGTCAGGAAATGCAAAATTAATACTCTCCTTGCGATATTGCTCATTAATACAGTACTTAGACTAAGCTACAGCTTTAATGGCCTAATTCAAAAGAGTGGAAATTTTTATTTTACTTAATTTAAATCATTTAGATGTATGAGCTCTTTTATTTCCACTGGCACTTTTTCACATTAAGTGTAACAGGGAAGAAGTCGATCACAAACCCTCTCATAGAACATAAACTCTTGATGGACTGACACAAAATTGAACCACTGAATACTTGTAACCTAATGAACTGGATAGATTTGGAGAAAAGGCTCCCTGAAAGTCCACCAATGGGGAGATGCTAGAAAGATGTCCACAGGATTGGGTCAGAGAAAAGGCACAAAGCCACTTGAATGTATTGCTTCTCCATGTGACTTACCTATTCGGAGTACAGTGAGATGGCCACAGCTGGTGAGAGCTAAATAACTTCAGAAGTTTTGGGGGTGGTAGGGATGGTCAAAGTGCCGTGAGGAAGCGCTAGGGAAATAGTAGCTACAGGAATGAATGGAGAAACGCTCTGCACTTAGAAGTTCCAGCTTCTAATCCAAAGGGAGGGAGTCTGTTTGCCTCTCAGCATAGTAGGCTGTGGATCAGGAAGTCTGGACTCTCCTCCCCAGCCCCATGCCCCACTCTGTCCTCAGTTTCTCATCTATGACATGGGACTTCTGCGCTGGAAGAACTATGAAATTCCCTGCTAACTCTGGTCTTCTAGTTTATACAAAAATAGCTCTATTTTCAGTCAAAAGATGTATTTATTATCTATTCATAAGTATTTGTTAATGTCTTCTCTGTCAATAGTTATATCATTGTCAAAGCACCATTCCCATTCATTTTCTTTATTATAATGAGTATATGATATGAACGCAACTCCTTGGGATATATGCCAAAATAACATGATTTGCTATTCTTAGTATTTCTTATTATACTATTGTATTCTGTCCTAATTATTTCAGCCCAGATAAGAAATATATGCAGAATTTTATGACAATTCATCAGGATGATATCATTGTCAAATCAGTTATTTCTTAAGAGATTTTAGTTGTCCCTTCTTTCTACCTGTATATATGCTGCAGGTAGTCAGAGTCTTAGTGTAAGAGAAATGACATTTTATTTTATTAACAAGTTTCCTTTCTGGCATACAGTCATTACTAGATGATCACCTTCATTTTTACGAGGTTACTAACTTCATCAGTAAACTGCAATGAGAACAGTAAAGGCTGAGACCAAGTGGACTACAGAAAAGAGTCAGGACTACAGAAGGAATAAGACTGAGCTATAAGAAACACACCTTTAACATACTAATATTGCATATGGGACAGTGTCGAATTCCAATTTGGAATGTGATTAATAGTTAAAGATGAAACCACAGGAGCTGGGCATAGGTTCAAATCTTATCCTCCCATGATTAACTTTGTAGCTATGGGTGACTTACCTAACCTATCTGTGACTCAGTTCCAGATTTAACATATCCAACTGTCCACTTACAGGTCAAAGTTGACATGTCAAAACTTCTACTTACAGGTCAAAGTTGACATGTCAAAATCAAACTCTTTATTTCCACCATCCAGCCAAAGTTGGACTTCATAGCTCTCCCATTGCTCAATAGAATGAAAGTTCCTTTTACAAACTGCATTTCAAAACCAGCCTTGGCCCTTCTCTTTTTCTCATAGTTCACATCCAATAAACTGGATTTGCTGAGTATAATGGTTCATGCCTATAATCCCATCATTTGGAAGATCTTAGAATACCTAGAATATTCTAAGTCCAAGGTCTGACATTTCATACTTCTAATCAAGAGCTCCAATGGCTTTCTAATTTAGAGTAAAATGTGAAATCTACAAAACCTTTGATTATCTAAAAAACCCTACCACTCCTATTGTCACTGTATTTAATTCTAGTGCCCTGCATCTTGTATATACATTTTTCTAATTTGGGAAGGGGCAGGGACATAACAACACACTGAAACAAGGATACAGGTTGACCCATTGTAACAATGAGACACATAAGACACTATGTTGAAAACAAACTTTACAACTTTGGGAGAGGTGGGGAAAGGAGGTTTGGGGAAGTAGGGAGGGAAGGGATAGTAGGGGAAAAACAAAGGAGGGGATAACAACTCTCTATCTGAAATGTCCTCATTACCTTACTCATGTAACTGTAACCCCTATGTACAGTATCTTTACAATAAAAAAAATCCCTACCAGATGAATTACATTCCTTCTTCAACCTCAACTCCCACCAGTGCCTCCATTACTCATTGCTCTTCTTAAAACACATTAGGAGTTTTTGCCACTTTCTAAGTTCTGTTTTGATTTCCTTTCTCACGTTTTTAAAGTTTTCATCATAGAGGTCCTTCACTTCTTTGGTTAAGTTAATTCCTAGGTATTTTACTTTTTGTGGGGCTATTACGAATGAAGTTGCTTTCCTAATTTCAGCCACACTTTTCTCATTGTTGGCATACAGAAAAGCCATTGATTTTTGAGGGTTAATTTTACACCCTGCTACTTTGCCAAAGTTTTGAATCAGCTTGAGTAATTTGGGAGTGGAGTCTGTGAGATTCTTTAAATACAAGATCATGTCATCTGCAAAGAGGGAGATTTTTACTTCTTTCCCTATTTGGATCCCCTTTATGTTTGCATCTTGTCTTATTGCTGTAGCTAGGTATTCGAATACTAAATTGAAGAAAAGTGGAGAGAGTGGGCATCCTTGTCTTGTTCCTGAGTTAAGAGGAAATGGCTTTAGTTTTTCACCATTAAGTATAATGCTGGCTGTAGGTTTGTCATATATAGCCTTTATTGTATTGAGGAATGTTCCATGAATTCCTAATTTTTCCAGAACCTTCATCATAAAGGGGTGTTGGATCTTGTCAAATGCTTTTTCTGCATCTATTGAGATAACCATGTAGTTCTTATCCTTGCTCCTGTTAATGTGATGAATTATATTAATTGATTTGCGTATATTGAACCAGCTTTGCATCCCTGAAATGAATCCTGTTTGATCATGGTGTATGATTTTTTTGGATGAATTGTTGAAGTCGATTGGCCAAAATTTTGTTGAGAAGTTTTGCATCAATGTTCATCAAAGATGTGGGTCTATAGTTTTCTTTCTTTGATGAGTCCCTGCCTGGTTTTGGGATGGGAGTTATGATGGCTTCATAGAATGAGTTCGGTAGTGAACTTTCTCTTTCAATTTCATTGAAGAGTTGGAGGAGTATTGGTGTGAGCTCTGCTTTGAATGCCTTGTAGAATTCCGCTGTAAAACCATCTGGTCCTGGGCTTTTCTTAGATGGGAGGTCTCTTATTGCTATTTCTATTTCAATGCTTGATATGGGCCTGTTAAGATGGTTTAACTCATCTTGGTTTAGTTTGCATCTTGTCTTATTGCTGTAGCTAGGTATTCTAATACTAAATTGAAGAGAAGTGGAGAGAGTGGACATCCTTGTCTCGTTCCTGAGTTAAGAGGAAATGGCTTTAGTTTTTCACCATTAAGTATAATGCTGGCTGTAGGTTTGTCATATACAGCCTTTATTGTATTGAGGAATGTGAATATTTGCTAGGAAAAGGTCCATTTCTGCCCAGTTCTCAAACTTATTAGCATAAAGTTTTAAGAAGTATTCCCTTATAATGTTCTAACTTAGAAAGTGGCAAAAACTCCCATGCTCCTGGATTGGAAAGATCAACATCATGAAAATGGCAATACTTCCCAAGGCTATCTACAAATTCAATGCCATACCCATCAATATTCCAACCTCATTCTTCAAGGAAATAGAAGAGGCAATCCAAAAATTCATATGGAACAATAAAAGACCCCAAATAGCAAAAACGATCCTCAACAGAAAGAACAGTGCTGGCGGAATATCAATACCAAATTTCAAACTCTACTACAAAGCCATGGTAATCAAAACAGCTTGGTACTGGCACAAGAACAGACCTCAGGACCAATGGAATAGAATTGAAAACCCAGAAATGAACCTATAGACCTATAGCCATCTAATCTTTGATAAGGAAGCTAAAAAAATAGAATGGAAGAAAGACAGCCTCTTCTGTAATTGGTGCTGGCAAAATTGGTTAATCACTTGTGGAAAACTAAAGCTAGATCCTTATTTATCACTCTGCACCAGAATCAACTCCAAATGGATCAAAGACCTCGGAGTCAAAGCAGACACCCTGAAAACATTGCAGGATGGAATAGGAGAAACCCTAGGTCTCCTTGGCACAGGCCGAAATTTTCTTAATAGAGACCCAGAAACACAACAAATCAAAGAAAGGTTGGACAGATGGGATTACATGAAATTGCAGAGTTTCTGCATGGCAAAGGACATAGCTAGCAAGATCAATAGAAAGCCCA